TCTAATATCATTTTAAGTAGAAACCGCAGGATAAGGGCCATCAGGAGAACAGCATGAGAGCTGGGGAGAACCCTGTGATGGTCCGCAGTGCACAGAGTGGAGTGAAGGGTCTAGAACCTACATACTTACACATCCTTTCACAGAAATTTTCTCTTCGTCTTCTAGCCTCTGAATCTGAGAGCCTTGAGTTTTGTACATTTGGTTGATCTTGCATTTCACACTGTCTTGGGCAATAAAATAAAGAAGGAGTCCGAGAGCCTTTGTTATGTCTCAGCGCTGCCATATGCTACACACGGAGCCTTTGGCAGCTCCGTTTTACCATGTGAGTCTTAGCGTGTATATCTATTGGGTGAGCGATCTGATACTTGGGTATTTTATGTTTTCTGGAACTGTTATAGAGATTAAAGAGACTTATATGAAAATGTATTGCTATGCCAGGTAAATGGAAGGCAATATTATTTAAAAGGAATGTCCCCAGATGCCTCCATATTTCCTATTATGACATTAGAACCCTCCTCTTATGATTACACTTCTTCAGGATACCTTCTTCACACTACTGTCTTCAGTCCTTTAGGATACTATGCAGTAATAGCCCGTTATACCTGATTTCTGACTAGCAACTTAGTGTGGGAGGAAAAACAATGGTCTACATATATAATGTATATTACATAGAAATACATTTAATATTTATATATAGTTAACAGATAACATATTTGATTATGTTCATTATAATTTCATATTAACATATATTTCAATATTATGCTATATATTAAATATGTTAATGTTAAATATATTATATATTAAATATATATTAAAATTTTACCAGCGTTTTATATAGGATTATATCAGAAGATTAGAAAGTTCTTTCAACCGCTATTCTGCAATGACATCACATGCTTGAAAGCTGTACTATACAGCATAATTGAGAGATATGAAGAGGCCCTGGCACATGCTTGTGCATCCACACACTCTACGGTGCCTTCCAGGTCATGATGGACCATACACCCTCAAACTGAGAGCCAAAATAAATTGTTCTTCCCTTAAGAAAAACATTCAGTAAGAGAGCGTGTAGAGATCACTACCACCCCAGTCCCCATGGTCCCCTGGGTGATTATATCTAGTCCTTAATAACGCCCCCGCATGAGTGTCCAGGGATAACTCAGGTTATCTCTGAGAGTCCTGGAAATAGTAATTATGAAGCTGTGTGGCTTATTTGGCCCCTGTTTTGTTTTGCTTTTGTGGTCATGGAAAATAAAAGCACCCAAAGCCAATGGCTTTTATTTTCATAGTTCTAAACAGCATTGCTTTGTCTGAAAAAATAATGTTTCAATGGGTGGTTGATGATAGTACTTGCTTCGTGTGTAGTTTTTGGTTTTATGAGACCAACACCACACAGGGGATTTAAGTAAAGATATTCCAGTAGGAAGATGCATGAATAACAAGGAACTCAGAAGCCAGGATGCATGGCAGGACATCAAGTTGTTCTCTTCAGAATGGTCCCACTTCCCTACTTTTAGGAAGCAACTGTTTGTTGGGGTGATGAATTTGCTCATATTAAAAATGGCTCCTGGGACTGGAGGTAGTTAAGAACTCTGTCTGCTCTTCTAGAGGACCCAGGTTTGATTCCCATGACCCATATGATAGCTCATAACCAACTGTAACTATAGTCCTAGGGGATTCAACACTGTCTTTTGGCCTCCATGGGCATCAGACATGCAAGTGAAGCTGGATCAGTGGTTAAGATAGTATCCTGCTCTTGTAGGGCACCGCCATTTAATTCCTAGCACCCACATCAGGTGGCTCACAACTGCTTAAAATTCCAACATCAGGGAGTTCCGATACCTCCAGACTCGTTCACCAGTTGCCTGCTACATACGAGCATACTCAAATGCAGACACAAACACGTACACATTAATTAAGAATATAATAAAACTGTTTCCTTAGAAAAAGAGTACTTCCTGCCTGGATTGTGAATGGCCACTCTTCCCATATTGGATGCCCTTCAGCACACTCAGCAGCTGACGAATGGGAAGACAAGGAGTTACAGATGTTGCCCTTAAACATGCCACATCACCCAGCATGGTGGGTGGAAAAGTTTCCATAAAGCAGGAGCATATTCAGGAGGCTGGGGAAATGGCTCAGAGGATAAGAGCATTTCTTCTACCAGCTCAAGAACTTGAGTTCAAATCCATGTAAAAACCTAGGCATGGCATCACATGTGCCTGTGACCTACCTCAGCACTGAGGGAGAAGGAAAAGGAGAATCACTGGGGCTTGCTGGCTGCCAGCCTAGATTAGAATTCAGAGAGAGACTTTGATTCAAGGATATAAGAGTGTCGTGGAGGTGGCCACCCAGTGTTCTCAGGCCTCCATGTAGGCATATACACATATACAAACACTATACACACACACACTCTCTCACACACACACACTTACACACACACACACACCACATGCATGCATAGTGTACTGTATTCTGTAAGGACTCAAGTTTCTATTAAGCTTGACGTCAAATTCGTCCATGCTTTTTGAAGATAATACTGACTTAGTCTGTGTCTCTGGTTTTTTTCCTTTGGAAATGGGTACCACAATTCATTGCTCATGTCAATGCCACTGAGTTTAAAATAATAAAATGTACTCAGAACAGTCCCAACCACAAATCAGACACGTCACAAACTTGAACTGCATCCATTTCAAGAGGATGTGGATGATGCAATGGATAAACGCAGTCCACAGAGGGCAGGTCACCTCTTCTGTACTGAAATAGATACTTGCTTCCAGGGAACAGTGGCGTTTCACATAACCCGATGGAATCACTGGATAGTTTACCGTAAGAAGTCTGTCTTGGCCCTTCTGAGAGTTCAGTAGCTTGGATCTCAGCTCAGTCACCACACCCATTTCATGAGGAAGGGACTCCAGGGGCAGCTGTGTTCTCAGACTGGCTGAGTGATTATTTTCTGGCATTTCTCTATCAGGGTCTTGGAAAACCCGTAAGTTATCGCACAAAGGGAAACAGTGAGCTGAACTGTGCGTGGGGTGAGGTGAAGTGCTTGATTTGAGACAGAAATTCTTTTTTCTGTTCTACAGGGACACTTTGGACAATGGATCTTTTCACAGACGTGAAGTTGATACAGAGCTGATATTGTCCTGTGTCAGCTCTGAAATGTTTTTTTTTTAGCACATTCCCTCTTTTATTTTAAAAAAGAGGGGTGGGGCTTCCTAAAATGTGCACATACTTCTTGCCTTCTTAACTAAAGATCTGTGCTCTGAGCCACGGTGTCCTGAGAACTGGTTCCACGTTCCAGGGCTTCATCCTTCATTAATTTTTACAACAAGCCTATGAAATGGGTGCTGCCCAATCCTTGCCTTGCAGATGAGGAAACTGAGGACAGAGAAGCCAAGTTATTGATTTATTCAAGGTTCTGTAGTTAGAAGTAGTAAACTTGAACTCCATCTCCCCAGCCCCTTAAGAAACAGAACTTATTGCTGGATAACATTTGGTTTAAAAAATGACAGGAATGGTTATCAACCATCAAAGTAGGAAATTCGAATGTCCATTTCAAAAGCATTTCCATTATACTGGAGTTTGAAAAGGAATTAGTCTTCAAACCAGAAGCATAAATTTTAACATATCCGTGACAATTCCTTTGTTCTGCAGATGTCATTTGAGTATCTGCTCTATGGTGTGACTGTGAGACCATTGTATGCCAGGTACTATGGAAACAAATATGTTTCATGAGGGATACAGATGCCCTCCAAAGGGCCCCTTATAAGATCTACATCATCTGAGCCGAGATGGGAACTCAGCTCACTCATGAACAGGAGAACCTCAAGAAAATATTGACTTTTCAACCCGTCCTTCAAGGAAGTCATCCTCTTTGACTTCCTCTGTCCTGTGTGAATGAGACCAATGCATGAGAGTGGGGGACACAGGTAGAATTCAATGGTTTTTTTTTTTTTTTTTTGGCTTCAAAGAGGCCTCACTGCTCTCATAATAGATCAAGCTGTTTTGCTTGACCAGGTGCTAACGGACCTTGGGTTGTTGCACACAACAGTTTGTTTTCTCAGATGGGGGCTGATGAAAAGGAGAAGCTCGTAAGAACCATATCCCTTGATAAAAGATATCTTTTTCAATGAGATGTGTTCTTCCGTGCGGTTAGCAAATAAAGTTAAATGCAGCTCTAAGAATAGATCTAAAACACAAAGCTATTGGGTACGTTGATGGCATCCGTGAAATTGAGCATGTGATTTCCTATGGCGATGGCTTAGACATAATCTTCATAACTGTCTCATTTTAAAAGTAATGAATTAACAGAAAATACCCTGTAACTTCTCTCATGCAGATATGACTTAGGTTCTATATTCTCAGATCCCTGGGGCCATATTTAAATGTCCCTTCTTTGAGCTACCTTCTTCCTGTTGGAAATACTGCAGTCTTTCAATGGTTCCCCTTCATCATTGTGGATGCTGCACAGTGCTGGCAAAAATATGTGTGGTGATTGAGGAGAGATGGTTGGCTGTCTTGATCCCTTTAAATTACGTGTCTTTTCTCTTTTTGTCTCATGGATAAACTGGTAGCCATTGCGTCTGGCTGTTTACCATGTGTCTGCTTCCAACCACTCCCTAGTATGTTTTTTTTTTTTTAAACCTTTGATTAAGTGCTGGAATGCCTAATGACCAATCTAGTCAATATGTGTTTTCAGGCTAAGAGCGAACAGACTCTGAGGGAGGATAAAGGGCTGAATCAGAGTATGAGCTGCAACTCTCTTCACTGCCAGGAAAGCATTACTTATCCTCACAGAGATAATTGAATTTTGTTTTATTGCTGATATCTAGCTAAGTGGCATTACTATTAGGGACACTTTGGCAAGAAGGAAATCTTTTACAAAAGGAAGGAGAGGAAAGGAGGGGGGTAGGGGGAAGGCAGGGGAAGGGAAGAAAATGCAGAGCAGTGTTTTGAGTGGATCTCATTTTGAATATCTTTATGCTTGCTCTTCACAGTGGCTTGAACTTCATTGACCTGATGGTGAGACAGGGAAACATTGACAACCCTCCCAAGACACCCTTGGTGCCAGGATTCGAATGTTCTGGGATTGTTGAAGCTCTGGGGGACAGCGTAAAAGGATACGAGGTAAAGTTTCAAGTCTGACTTCAACAGTCATAATCCTCTAGAGCCTGGGAGGCAGGAAAACTGTGAAAACATATTTCAGATATTGGCAGCCATGTTTTATTTTGTAATTTTGTTATTTCGTAATATTCACCATGTTTGCAATGATAGGACTTTCCAAAAACATCTCATGGCTTTATTTGTTGCTTATTTCTTATTTTTGTTTTAAATATGTTGTCTTGGTTGCTCTTGGCAATAGTTTGGGGAAGTAGGCTCGACAAGTGTTGCTCTATTCTTTCTTCATAATTACTTAATGTGGCTATTAAGAGTATTTAATAGTAGCTAAGTGCACATCCTCTTGCCCCAGCTACAGGTACCATTTCCCACCATCCAACCAACTACAAAACACAAAAGTAAGGGGAGTTACTTGTTTTATAATGTGGTTCCTTAAAGTATTTACTTAGTTGATACCTTTTAAGTTATCATGTATACATTCTGAACTATTTTAGGAATGGATAGAGCAGGACTTTAAATTACAAAAAATTACCTTAAGTCAAATAATCTCCCCCTATTAATAGGATAGAATCGGTGCTAAATTAATGGCTTAGGAAGAGGGCAACAAGTAAGTGGTTTAATCCATTATTCTGATTTCATACACATATGAAATTCTCTATAATAAAACATTTAATTTTGAAAAAACAGATGCATGCATGACTTTTCCTACAAACTAAATACAATTTTGTTTATAAAAACTGAAACACTGACTCTGGCCAGATGGCTACTGGATAAGGGTGCTCGTCACCAAGCCTGATGACTTTTGTTTAATCCCCACAACATACCTGTTTGTAGGAGAGAACTACACATTATCCTCTTACTTCCACACGAGTGTTATTGTGCACACACACACACACACACACACACAATGTAATAAAAATCTAATGAAACACCTCAGCAGCATCAGCTGTATAAAAATTGCAAGTTGAGAATCTGAAAACTCACTACAAATCAAATTCAAGGGCTCTCACTCATAACTGAGATCTCAGCAGGGAGGCTGGGTGACTGACATTTGAGAACTCATCATAACCAGCTTTATAGAGAAGTCATCTTTTCTCTAATCACACAGGATGCCCCACACACACACACATACCCACATACACACATGCTCAATAAAGGTTTTTACTATTCCCTCAGGTTCACAAGGTGCAGTAATTCTCTGTGAGGTTAAAAGGGAGAAATCGGATCCCAGATTCAAGTCACCAAAGCCATTTGATACTTCCTACAGTCTCATGGCTTTTATCCATATTCCCAGCCTCACCCACAATGCTACAAAAAGGCATGCAAATGAGAAAATAAAGGTGACCCCTGCAATATCCAATGCCAGAGCTCTCTCCAACTTGACCTTTAGCCTGCAGTTCATCCTCTCCCCAGCTGGAACTTCACTCTACCTGAAAATACCAATGTGCCAAATTCATGGTGATGAGTGCCCAGAAGCCTCATCCCATTTAGAGACGTGTCTGTCAAAGATTTCCAAATAATATAGAAGAAGAAAAGCCCAGAAAAGAAGAAGAGGAAGAGGAAGAGGAAGAGGAAGAGGAGGAGGAGGAGGAGGAGGAGGAGGAGGAGGAAGAGGAAGAGGAAGAGGAAGAGGAAGAGGAAGAAGAAGAAGAAGAAGAAGAAGAAGAAGAAGAAGAAGAAGAAGGGCCTTTGATCTTTAAATACAACTTTACTTTCTCTGTCCCTAGTAGATATTTTCACCAAGGCACACCTCTCTCCCTGGAAGTGCTGCATCTACATGGATCTGTTTGTTCTTCACTCTCCCACGTGGCCCCAAAGGAAAATCTCAGTCTGCTCGCTCTGTTAGCCATGAGCATTGAATAAATATCAGTTACCAGAAGTGTTGTCAGTCTTGATTTAGAGGAATAATTTAACATTCTCAATTAGATGCATTCATTCTTCAAATATACCTTATCTTCTGGTTAGCCCTGGCTTGACAGTAATATCAAGCCTTCATGTCAGTCCCTCTCCTCTGCCAGTGATTTTCAGCTGTGCATATTTTTAAAGGTTCCCCGCATGTTTCTATACAGAGTGTGATATGAGAGAACGCCAACATTAATACACTCCATGTGATTTTGACTTAAGAGTCTTAATGCTGGAGATGAAATCCCATGCAGCAACATGGTCCGTGGCATTCTTGGTGTGATCCGTAGCAAAGGCATAAAAAGTTGCTGCCAGAGGCCATCAGTAAAGGACTACTGTGGGCTCATGGCCTCAGGACTGATTTTAGTTTTCTTACTAGAATCAACTAATCGGATAAATAGGCAGATGTATTTCACATATATGTATTTGTATGTGTGTCAATCCTATTGCCTAGTCATGTTTGCAATTGTGAGAATGAAATAAATGCATAGATAGGCTGATGTTGAGCAAGAGCCCTGAGAGTGGTCATACACTTCCACTGTGAAGCGTACGGAGACACTCAATTCATTTCCTTCTATGTGGACGTTAGAGACCATTAGCTACTCTGGGGTACCAAGTATGTGTCTCCGTTTTCACAATTACATGAAGAAATTGTTAGGCTCACTTCGTGATCTGGTCCAAATGCTTACATTGAAAACAACACTTAACAGAGTCGCTGCCAGTGGGGTGGCCTTTCTTTTCTCTCTCAGTTTGATCACTGGGCATCCATTCCTTTCTGCCTCATGCAGTGGAGAAGGTCTGTGCTTACCAGTGTGTCACTGACATGCAGATGGCAGAACCAGGTTATTCTTTGTAAAACAGGTACATGTGTTGCTCTTTTCTTGGTTTCCATGCACTGTGCTACATACACTGGACCTATATTACTTCATGAGTACTGTGTCCATTTCAGAGATGAGGAAAGTGCCTTGTACTGGCTGGTTTTGTGTGTCAACTTGACACAAGCTGGAGTTATCATAGAGAAAGGAGCCTCCCTTGAGGAAATGCCTCCATGAGATCCAGCTGTAAAGCATTTTCTCAATTAGCAATCAAGGGTCAGAGGGCCCATTGTGTGTGATGCCAGCCCTGGGCTGATAGTCCTGGGTTCTATAAGAAAGGAAGACTCCTGCTTCCCCTGAAACAAGTCAGTAACATCCCTCCATGGCCTCTGCATCAGCTCCTGCTTCCTGACCTGCTTGACTTCCAGTCCTGGTTTCCTTTGGTGATGAACAGCAATGTGGAAGTGTAAGCTGAATAAACTCTTTCCTCCCCAACTTGTTTCTTGGTCATGATGTTTTGTGCAGGCATAGAAATCTTGACTAAAAGATGCTTTAAACAGTCAGTTTCAGTACAGCATCCGAGATGTTCCTGTTGAGTGTGTTCTCATCATACAACAGTATGTTTTCTTCATAGCACTTTACCTCAAGTACAATGGATTACTTATTTGTGTCTAGAGTTAAAGTACCAGGGTGCCAATCATGATGCTGCTCTAGCTCCTCGACCTTTGACAGTGATTTGATATTTCCTTTGCTTCCTTTAAATGAAGATACTACTGGTCATTCATTTGGATACAAGGGCTATGATGGAACCCATCTAACGGAGTTGCTTCTATTGTTGGATAAGGTTAGAAAGCAAACACTGAGATACTTAACAAAAAAAAAAAAAACCAGTAGAATCAATTATAAGAAAAGTATGTAAAAACTGAACCATTTCTTTAGGAAAGCCATTAATTCTTGGGAGTTGACATTGACCATAGCAAATCTGTTACATTTGAAAGCTGAAATATAAAGAGCTAATGTTTCAAATCCCCAAATGTTTTCACTTATCCAGCACTTGATGACTCATAGAAACTGTTAGTGTTTCTTCTGCTGTTCCCATTTATCTTTAATAATGATGTGCTACTTAAAAAATAAAAGACTTTGTCATTTCAAAAAGATTGCTCTTTTCCTCCCCTTTTCACGGTGTTGGGATAGGCCAGCTATGGATAGGAGTACAGCGGCTACCCGTGCCTTCGTGGGGTTCACCAAGGCTTGCATGCATCAAACCACATGAAGCCTTTAGGAAAACACCTTCGTGTGCCACACACCCAGTAAACATAGCTCATCACTGTTCCCATCCAGTGCTGCTCTCCTGTTTTACCCAAAGCCTGATTTCTCTTGTTCTGTTCATGCCTGTGTGTTTATATGGATCTCTCTTCTACCAACTTGTATGTCCACTAGGATCAATAATCCTGGGATCTGGTTGGACACAAACACAGTGAACTAAATGGGTAGGGAGTCTATCTAGGTATGAAAAAACAAATAAATGAATGTTCCGAACTCCTAGTCCTGTGGTCAGTGCTCAAGGGAGTTTTGGCAGAATTTTAACCAGCCTTCCTTATCTGATTCTCTTGTCGCCAAAATAAAGTGGTTAGACAACATCTGAGTCAGAAGGTACCTTGACACTGGCAATGTATGATATGTCACTCAAGTCAGGGTGGGAAGAGAATTATAGAACTTGGATTCCATGGTCTTTGGAAGACTTTATTACATTGGCTACAAAGGATCAAAAGTGTCTTGGAAATGGAAGGTAGACATGAATATCTTTGGAGATGCTAGGTTTGGTGTCATGGGAAGGAAACTTTAATATCCATCAGATTCTAATTCCAAAAATATCCCCCCAAAAATATGAACAAAAATATGTTTATGTTTAAACTTGAAATCTAAAATATGTCCATCAAAGTGGAGAACTTCTTCTATCCAGTATTCGTTGAGTCTGGGAGTACTTACATATTGAGAGAAGAAGGAAAAAGAAGGCAAGTTTGAGCCAGAGCCAGAGCCACAGATAAGTTTGATCAAGGACATTTCACCATCTAGACCATAGAAGAGTCAGAGACAGGAGAACCTGCTTGTGTCTAAGCCAAATCTCCAGAGAAAAAGGAAAGATGCAAGTATCAGATACTCCTCTGTGCCCAGCCATCAGATCACTGTGGTGATTAATTGTTCTCTCAGAGCAAGTAGACCTGCTCCACATTGTTCCTATTCCTGGTAAGCCTACCAGGGTTTGGTGACTCAGATTTCTCTCCTGAACTGAGCTAACCCAGCCCCTGCAGAGATGCATTGATTCTGGGACAGAGATGTGAAGAACACTATAAATGTGGTTCCCACCTCTATAGTTCCCAGGACATATCTAACTGAGATCCTCTTAACCCGGGTCTGATAGGTGCCAGGGTACATAGGTAAGTCTTTATAAACACTGTGAAGTTCACAGACTGAGGTTATAGCCACCTTATCCTCAGTACACAGAGCTGTCTGGTCTTAGGAAGCAGACTACTGTGGAATCTCTTAGACCATATCAACCCCTCTCCTACAGGAAAACATGATCTTTACTCTTTTGGAACAATGTCTGAAACGCCCCCATTCTCATGCCATCAGCCTAAGGGCTTATTTTCTACTAAGATATTCCTTCCAGATTGAATTACCTCCCAAGCCCTGCCACTCAAAGTATTTGCCACCTGCAGTTTTTCAGAGAATGTGAACAATTGAACAGCGTGAATTGTAATTCATTCACCATTCTATCATCTGTTCTTGGAATCTAAGACTGAGAAGGAGCTTAAATAAACAATCATGCCAGGAGAGCATTGCGATGTCATGAAAAGATATATGACGGACAGCTCTTTGCCTATGTGACCTCAGGGCAGAGATACAATGTACCCTCACTTTCAACATGTGCATAGTGAGGCTTACACCCCCAGAAAGCTGTCATGGAGACTAAATATCTGATGTAATGTGAAAATTAGAGTTTGGCATGTAGTATATAATTATTTTTGTTCAGTGTATGTTTTCTTTCTGTTATAATCTAATGTGCAAATAGAACAGCCTCTTGGGAAGAGAGATTCCAAGCCAGAGTGTAAGTCCAGGGGCGCTTACATGTGAGGGCTAATCAAAACCTTAAAGAAAGGGCACATAGTGCAGGCAGATGGCAGTTTGGGAAGGAGAGAGGAAGAACTGTATCATCCTTCTACTTCATTAAATCTACCAATACAGCTCAGCCTCTGCTCACACCTAGTCAGTCTTCGGGATTCTAGTGACAGAAGACAAAAGTACAGCTCAGTTAATAGGATGCTTATCTAACATGCACGAGGTACTGATTTGAAGTCCTCAGCCACTACATAAAGCCAGACCTTCTGGTGCATGCCTAGAATCCCACTTCTTGGAAGGTAGAGGGAGGAAGATCAGAGCTCAAGGTCATCCTCAGCCATATAGAAAGTTTTAGGCCATTCTAGAGTACATGAGGTGATTTGAGAAGGAAGAAAAATAAGGGAGAAGGAGGAGGAGGAAGAAGAAAGGGAGGAGGAAAAGAGTTATTCCAGTAACAGAATGAGTTTCCCCACATTTGTGGCTGCGAGAGGAAACAATAGCAGGGAACATGGGGAGGTAGCTTTAGATCTCCAGATCCAGAGATCCAGAACTCTCAATGGCTCAGTAAGTAATCATTTATAGCAGCTTACTTGAGTTTTTACTGCAAATGTATAGAAAAGAGTTCATTTCATCAAAAACCAAATGTGAAAATCATAATGATTTCTACAGAGCTCACAGTGTACATGTATTGGGAGAAATCTTTATGTGCATTATGGAAGAGAAACGCAGTGTGAGTTATGTACCATGGACAGCTCCCGATGTGTCTGGTCCTTGTCCTCAGAATCCCATTAAACTTTGTATCCTTTTATTCCCAGATTGGAGACCGTGTCATGGCATTTGTCAACTACAATGCCTGGGCTGAGGTGGTCTGCACTCCAGTGGAGTTTGTCTACAAGATCCCAGATGACATGAGTTTCTCTGAGGCTGCTGCCTTCCCCATGAACTTCGTCACTGCATACACGATGCTCTTTGAGATTGCCAACCTCCGCGAAGGGATGTCTGTGCTCGTGCACTCAGCCGGTGGTGGCGTGGTAAGTTTGCTGCTTGTGGTTCTGTTTCTTTAAGGTCATGATGGTACCAATGGAGTTGAAATTGACAATGCAGTTCTTATGTGAGTTCCAGTCATTGGTAGGATTGATCTACAATAGTGGTAGCATGGATTACTGCAGTGGGGGTTAGGTTACATCTCAGAGATGGTCTATCTGGGGCTTACGGTGGTCTCATAACGTCATGTGAGGACACAGCAGTCTCAGGCATGGCTTTTGTAGAGAGACACTGATAATGTATTACTGCATTGAACATTACAAGATACCTACTCATTTCACCTCCTACCAATACCACCTAAAATGCCAAGATAGTGAATAATACCCTTTTCAATTAACTGCAGCATTTGACATGATTCTTGTAGTAACATTCTAATGTACTTGTGCTCTGGTATATTTTGTGAAATGGGAAAAATGAGGACAGAGAATGACCAGTCACAATGAGAATTGCACATGATCCTTAGGTCACCCAGGAGAGTATCAAACATGGGGGTATTCTATGTGCAATCTCACAGAAGTATCTTGCCAAGTGGGGCAATGAAGGAAATCAAAATTTTCTGCTCTGTAGTTCAGAAATGGTGGGGTTTTTTCCTTCTGTGGTTTCAATCTGTCTTGGTGTTTATGTCCAATGCATACTGTATGTCTTCATGTGGACAAGTACTAGGCTTGTTTTGTTCTACTGAGGTTTGGCTGGAACTTTCATTTTTCTGAGAGTAGGCAGTATTACTAACCCAACAAATATTCATTAAGCACACGCCATGCTCTAGAATCTATGGATACGTAGATTCAAAAGAGAAGGTACAATCTAAAGGAATTTGAAAAGTTTCTAAAGTTGTGAGTCTGTTTGGTGGCCTCTGAGATGAAATCATATGATTGAATCTATCTCAGATATTTTAATTGTTGTATTGTTAATATTGATTTAAAATAAAAGCCCTGGCTTTTTTCAATTACCAGAGCTTTCTGAAGTATAAAGCAAATTCTCTCTCTCTCTCTCTCTCTCTCTCTCTCTCTCTCTCTCTCTCTCTGTGTGTGTGTGTGTGTGTGTGTGTGTGTGTGTGTGTGTGTTAGAGAGAGACTCAGAGACAGAGGTTAACACTGGGTCATCAAGTGTCTTCCTCAGTCATTCTTCACCTAATTTTTTAAAACAAAGTCTGTCACTGAACCTGATGCTCCCAATTGTCCTAGGTTGGCTGGATAGCAAGCCCCAGGGATCCTTCCATCTATACCTTCCTTGGACTGGGATTACAGGAACCATCACAGATGCTAAAGACGGAACCCAGATCCTCATGCTTGCATAGCAAGCACCTTACCAGAGTAGTTTTCCCATCCCATGAATGTCATTTCTACATTTCCTCACATGTAGAATGTCATTTCTACAGCCTCACATCCAAAGGCAAGGGGTGCGAAATTTCAGGACATTTTAAGAATAGATCTTTAATCTCACTCACAAATTTACTGGTATCTTCTGGCCACTAGTAAAGATGGAATAAAACTAAATGCCCCCTAAAAATCAGATGGATTTCCATTCCAGCAATCTGCTAAGAGCAAGCAGGCCATTTAGAAAGCTGGCATTTATGGTCTCAATGTGTTCTGCATACAAAGTGTGGGGATGTTTTCATGTTGCCAGCAGAAGCACCCATCTGTATGGTGATGCTGGCTTCAGTCCTGGAAAGGGCTATATGATGGTTCATTACACTCACTTGACAATTTTGATTGGCTCTGGGATCAACTAAAATGCCAGCTCCTGGCCATTACCAGGACTTTCTTGATCAGACTATTTTAATCAGGAAGGCCACCCTAAATACGGGCAGCATCTTCCAAGAGCAACCAAGATGAAAAAAGACATGGAAGATGCACCTTGATTTTTGCCTTCTTGCCTGTACTCCTGATGGGAAGTCCATCTATCTTATTGCTACAACAGTCTTTCAATGATAGTAGAACCAATTTCTTACGCTTCCAATGTCGACTAAAGATGATTAGCTCTCCAGGAATCTTTAAGGCCTTCATATTAGGACTGTTGAGATGCCCAGTCTCAAGGACTGAGCATTCCCCCTGTGGTCTCTGATTTAGTTCCTCTCTCCAGGTTCCTGCCTTGAGTTCCTGCCACAACTTCCCTTAACGGTGAACTGTTACCTGGAATTGTAATCCAAATGAACCTCTTCTTACCATGCTGCTTTTGATTAGGATGTTTTGTCACAGCAACAGAAAGCAAACTAGAACGTCCCATTTGTATAGAACAGCACTGATTTTTCCCCCTCTTTCTTTTCACAATGAGAGCAAATAGACACATACCAAGAGTACATTGCTTGCATTCAAAAAGAAATTCTTGAGAACTCACCATAATTTTTACTCTACCTCATTCTGTAACTGCAGATATTACCAACAATAACTAAGATGAGAAAGAGGTGGAGAGATTAGAGAAAAGGGACATTAGGAGAAGTAAAACGAGTTAATGGGTACAACACAGGCTGGGCTGTGTTAAAGCTTTGTGTGAGACAGACAACAGTTTCCTGTGTTGGTTTCATAATAGCTTGTTGAAAAGAAGGGAAATGGTCATTGATGTAAGAAAGCTATGCTCATTTGATGGAACCAAACCCATTAGCCAGAGAAATGTGGCTGGAGACTATGTGGCTGGTTTTCTGTGATTTCTCATAAAGAATGTATGTGGGAAAGCCATGAGAATCTTCTCTAGAGCTGCTTCAGCACATACTGTATTTCCTCAAACTCTCCTTACGCTGTGCTACCAAGACTATCTAATAGCATTCAAGTAAAATAAAATTCAGTGAGAGTTAACATGTAAGAACCAAGATGTTGTATGGCTTTATCTTTGGAAAAATTTAAAGGTATGGTTGGGCCTCCTATCTCTCCAAAGGGGGGCCTCTTAAAGGACATTTCTCCCAAACCAAATTGACAGGCATAGTGATGAGATCCAAGGTCACCATTAAAAAAAAAGAGTGTGGACCAAAGTCATACTTACATACACAGACAGCCATATAAGCTGGGCAGGGATGACACTGTCTTGCAGAAATGAAGGCTGTCCCTAGGGAAGGCTTGGACTACCTCCACCTCACATTGGGGAGATGAGTGAGTCCTCCAACTCAGAACCAATTTCTCACAAGACAAAGGCTGGTGACTCTACAGATGGTCATGGAGACCCTCAGGCCAAGCTCACTTGAATTGTCTGTGACACCCTTAGAGGAGAATGGAGGTGTTCCCTGCCACTGTCACAGCCACCCTATGTATAGTTGCTGTGATAGGCAGGATAATGGCTCCTGAAGATACTTGAGTCCCTGGCCCCTTTGAATGTGTTCCCTTACATATCAAAAATCTGATTAGGGTAAAAACTTGAGATGGAGAAATTGTCTCAGATTGTGAGTAACCTCTATTTAATCTCAAGAGCTTTTGAAGTTAGAAGAAAGAAGCTGAAGAGTCAGGAACAGTGAGGCTATGAGCCAAAGAAATCGGATGAACTCTAGATACTAAGAGAGACACAGAATCTTAAGCCCACAGAAGGAAACACCTTTACTAACATTATGGTTTCAGCTGAGTGAAATCCACTTCAGATGTGAGATTTCCAGAGGTGTACTCTAAGAAATATGTGTTTTAGGAACTCCTAACTGTGTAGTAATTTGTCACAGAGGCCATTTTTTCCTGGATTGCCCCTCACAGTGGAAATCCCACTGTGACTTAAGAAAAGCACATGAAGCAATAGAAGAAATACAATTTATACCCTCATCTGGATGATTCTAAACATATTCTTTCTCCACTCAGCAACCCAGAATGTTGGGAGAACATAGGCCATTTGTTTTCATGTTTGTACTTACTCAGGACTGAAGGAAAGTGGCTGTCAATAAAGTGCTCACCATGTGAGTATGTAGACCTGAGTTTGATCTCCAAGAACCTATGCAAAAAGTCTGAAGCCAAGGAGGCAGAGACAGGGACATTTCAGGTCAGCCAGTCCACACTACTTGGCAAATTCTAAGCCAGTGAGAATTCCTGAGGAATGACCTCTGGCCTCCACATGGATGCACACACATGTACACACACACACAAACACACACACAAATACATGCACATACATATACATAAACACAAATACATGCACACACACACACTCCACTGTTTAGTCAGTTTTCAGGAATAAGTATAGACATTTAAAAAGCTGTGAGACTGTGGCCCCAGTATACATATTCTAGATTGCTATTGATGTGATAGTAAAGATTAAACCTCACCAGGATCAAACTGCCTAAATTGAGTTTCTGTAAAATATACAGTCTTAATAGTGCCAAGATTTCTGTCAGCTTTGCAGTAAAAGTTGGGGTGGACATTTTGCAAATAGCTCATAAAGAATACCAACTTAGGCTGTGATTTTACAGAACTATAATTGGGCATCAGGAAATAATTCAGACCAGAGCAGGATGTGTGGTCACTGGAGTGGCCCAAAGTAGCCACTGCTCCATCAAAGCCTTAGATAGAACAATTTCCTCTGACTATAGAATGGCCAGATGGCTAGGGATGGTAATGCCCCTAATCAAATCTTGAGAAACTGGTGGAAAATTGGTTCATGAGCCTTTAAATGAAAGTAACAAAATAAGCAATGGTGTGGGACTCCTGTCAGGAACCGTATGGGCATGTTCCAATCCCACTCTGAATGCCTTGCTGATGAAGCTCTGAGTTCGGGCATTGTGACTCCCGGGTGTGTTCCAGTTCTGGATATGGCATAGTCAAGCCATATCTACTGGGAAGCCATTTGCATCTACTTGTGAGGTTCGACGCTCTTCTCTAGTTTGGATTTTCCCCCCTCATCTGAGCAGTGATCCCAGTGCAGTGAGCAACATCCCCATTTGACAGATGTGGGAGCTGATGGATAGAGAGTGATAGGGGCATCCATGTCCAAATCATAATGTGCTGCCGTCCTCTTGACCCTGTGCTTCAGGCTCTTGATGCCGCAGCATCAGAGAGATAAGGAGATGAGAAGGGCTGGCCTC